TCTGTACTCCGGACAGTACTGTCAGTGTTTTTTGAGGTGGTCTGTAGTGACATTAAGGTGGACAAGACATTGTTACAAATGTCTATGATCATATCTTTGTAATGCAATACAATATGAATTTATCACAATGACAGTGTAATTTCATTTACAGTTACTTATTTAGAGCTGGAACAGTTCTTGAGTCTAAAACATTGGAGGCACTCAGTTTCCTCAAATCAGTTGAGATGTCACTCATCAGGTTTTATAGTGTGGTTTTGTTTAAAGGGTAACTTCCTCATCTGTGAAAACTTTGTTAACTGACCACATTCTGGAGCAACACGAGGCCTTTAGAGACCATCGCTTTCAGGGCCTTCCTGCTGATTTCAACACAACAACAGCAGAAACGTTCTGCATGTGGATCCTTTTGAAATCATGTGTTGCTTCATGAAGTGCAACATACAAAAACAAGGGCCTCGTATGGTTGCGCAGGTGAAGGCTTGTACAACTGAAGGAGGGAGAAAAGTTCCTCTTTAGAGCTGGATCAGTTTCTGTCTTCAGTCCACAGACGAGTATCAAGGGCTATTAAATAAAGGTGATGTAACACAGCGGTAAACAAGCTCCTGTACAGCTGTTTAGGAATGTGATGCAGGTATGAAATCCAGAATAAGCAAATATTTACACAAACAATAAAGTTCATGAGCTGAAACCTGAAATATCATATTTGTCTTTTCAATTTAATACAGATCAAACAGACTTTACTGAACACTGTTTTCTGTTTTTATTCCATTTCACACTGAAAAACTGAGTTTCATCATTTTTTACTTTACATAATAATCAGTGTTTTTAAAGTAGGCAGAGGCATAATAGTTTTAAATGTTCATCAGTTTCTCCTCTGCAGCACTTTCTTCTGAGAAAGTTCAGCTCTTCATCATCTACAGAAGCTCCTCAGACTCCTCCTGTGCTGACAGCCATGGTGAGATACAGCCTCCCATTTATCAGCTTCACCTTCACAAGATCTTTAACTGATTTGTGTTTAGTACTGATTAAGCTTTTAGTACAGATTTATTACAGATTTACAGGTGAATGTGTGTGTGTGGCATGTGTGTTGTGTGTATGTGTGTGTGTGTGTGTGTGGTGTGTGTGTGTTGTGTGTGTGTATGTGTGTGTGTTTGTGTGGTGTGTGTGTATGTTGTGTGTGTGTGGGTGTGGGTGTGTATGGTGTGTGTGTGTGTTTTGTGTGTGTGTGGTGTGTTTGTGTGATGTGTGTGTGGTGTGTGTGTGTGTGTGTGTGTGTGTGTATGGTGTGTGTGTGTGTGTGTGTATGTGTGTGTGTGTGTGTGTGTGTGTGTGTGTGTATGTGTGTGTGTGTGTGTGTGTGAGTGTGTGCGCAGGTTCTCAGTGGAACTCTGAGAGTGGTCCTGCTCTGTCTTCTCTCTCTGTCTGATAGGAACTGAAGCTCAGCTGCTGAACCAGAGCAATCTGGCTCACATAATCAGCCATATTCAGACCGGTGCACGCGACTCATCACTTGGGCACACTCATCCCTCACATCGGGTCATGCTGGGGAGACAAGAACTCATAAACTAATCGCACAACGATATTGGTGGGAATCAATGAGCAAAGACGTTCATTCTATGGTTTCTTCATGTTCAATATGCTCCCAATGTAAAACACCTAAAGCGCTTCTGGCTGGCAAACTCATGCCCTTACCTGTACCCCTCCGACCCTGGTCCCACACAGCTATTGATTTTGTGACTGACTTGCCAGAATCGTTAGGATTCACTGCCATTTTGACAGTGGTGGATAGGTTTTCACGAGGTGTGCGATTCATTCCATTCCCCACAATTCCTAGTGCCTTTGAAACAGCCGAGACATTGTTCCAGCAGGTGTTTCATTACTTCGGCATCCCTGAAGACATAGTGTCAGACAGAGGACCTCAATTCACGTCACAAGTGTGGGCAGCGTTTTTTGAACATTTGGGGGTTTCTGTCAACTTAACTTCTGGATATCACCCGCAAGCTAACGGGCAATGCGAGAGAGAAAACCAAGAACTGGGTAAATTCCTGAGGGTTTTCTCTCATGACAACCCTTCAGACTGGGCAAGATTTGGGCAGAAATGGCACAAAACTCATTAACCAGTTCTGTTACAGGCATGACCCCATTCCAGTGTATTTTAGGATACCAGCTGCCTCTAGCCCCTTGGATAGGGGTACAGACGGACCTCCCCGCTGTGGATGAATGGATGATGAGGAGCGAACGAGTATGGGAAGAAACTCACCAGAGAATAGAAGCGGTACTCCAAAAACACAAGGAACAGGCGGACCGTCACCGAGGACCTACTCCAGTGTATCAACCCGGGGATCGAGTATGGCTGGCTACGAAGGACTTTCGACACTCAGAGGGAAGTTGTAAGAAACTTCAACCCAAATATATGGGTCATTTAAAATAGTTAAGCGCATCAATGATATTACCTATAGATTAGACTTACCCCCTCGCTTTAGAATCTTGAGATCATTGCATGCCTCGGCAGCTCAGGTTCTGCCCCTGTTCGGAGATCCGGTGGTGCGCGTGGTGGTTGTCCTGGCAGGTCTTGATCCGAGACCCGCCCGGACTCTTTGGGGGGGGTACTGTCACGCCTCATGAGGACTCAGACTACATTTCCCACAATACATTAGGAGATCATGTGACTGAGCAACTTCCCTCTGACGCAGAGTCCAGAAGGGACTCCATTGCCCACAATCCCTCGGGAGATCATATGACTTTGGATGGTTGTACACGCACCTATCAGTGCTCACATTCACTGGAATACTAAATACATTCACCTGTGTTTATTGTCATATGACCCACCTAGTGTAGTTTATAAGCCTGGGCTTTAGTCTTAGTCATTGCGAGGTATTGTTTCTTCTTGAACTTGCTGAGCGTTTCTATTATCTGTTTGCCACTACCTGTTATGACCTACGTTTTGTTTCTCTGACCTTGATTTTTGCCTGTCCCTTCTTGTACCTTTGCTGACTGTTTTTGGATACGTGTTTTGACTTTTTGGCCTGGTTTTTTGACTACGATATCGGATCACTCCCTTGGTTTTGTTTGCTTTGGTTATGATCACTTTGGTGATACTGTGCTGCTTTCTGGTTACGACCCACGCATGTTTTTGACCTCTTCTTTGTCGAACTCGAATAAAACCCTGCGTACATTTTTTATCCGCGAGCGTCTGAATTCTGTTGTATCGTCACACCAACATTTTTACAGTGTCTTTACTGTATTCTGAATTACTTAAAAGATCTTGCCCTCTAAACATCCAGTCACATCCAGGGTATATTTTACAACACACTTCAAGTGTCTTCTTTGGTATAAACAATAAATTTGCCCAAATAATGATTGGACAGTTGAACTGTTGTTACTGTTGTGGGCACATTCCTCATTCAGGTGTAAATTTCAGGATGTCTTCTCTCTTTAGGACACTGTTACAGTTAAGCATTAAACAAAAATACCTGGAAATGATGGCAGAAATGGGCTAATTGCTAATATTTTTGATATTTTTGTACAATCTTGATTGTTATGAAGAGCAGATTTTGTCTAAAAAACAGTGACAATTTGACAGTTTTCATTCCACTGTAATAAAAATCCTGTAAAATTACAGTAAAATACTAGGATCAGGGCTTCTAGCTGCTTACTATATTTTTTACAGTAATACTGTATTTGGAATTACAGTTTCTTACTGTTGTATTAAAAAGTATTTAAATACCATACATTTCAACAAATACAATAAAATACTGGCAGCAGGGTTTCCAGCTATTTACCAATGTTTTTACTGAGTCTTTACTGCATTGTGAATTACAGATTTTTTCTGTTAAATTTAAAAGCATTAAAATACCATGAGTTTCAATAAATACAGTAAAACACTGGCAGGGTTTACCATAATTTTTACAGTGTCTATCTTGAATTCTGCATTACAGTTTCTTACTGTTGTAATATATTAGATTAAAAATACATGTCCTTCTCCATGACAACTGCCCACTGGAAGTATAAAATCTATAAAATAACTGACATAAAAATCAGAATTAAAAAATTTGGCAAAATTAAATGCAGCCTTCTTGAGTAAAACTCACATCATTCCTATTGGTTCACAGTAACATATATTTGCAAAATGGGCGTGTCCCCAGCCTACCTTCCCTTGTGTCAACTAGATTTATGAACTTTTGTGACTCATGCTGATCAAATGTTGAGAGAGCTGAGTTTGTACGATGGCATTTTAGTGCAGCTGATAATAAAAATAAAAATAGTAGACTTTGAGAATAAAATTGTACTGTTTTGAGAAAAAAGTCATACTATTTCGAGGATAAAGGGGGCTAGCTGTAGTGGGGCTGCCGTAACGCGTTGGGGTCTCGGTTGCTGTACTGGTGCCAGAGCTCCACTCACTCCTGTCTCTCTGTGGATCATTTTGATCATCATTCTCACTGTCTGTGAAACTTCATGCCCTCTTTGTGGCGATGTAGACGTGATAGCCGTGTAGGCGACCCTGCCTGAGATTCTCCTTCAACAACACAGACAGACAGTTTCCTCCAAGTCCATCTGGCTCTTTATTCTAGATAAACACCGTTTCCTGCTCAGCTGTTTTAGCCGGTTCTTATACTAATAACAGGCTGGTGCTGATGTGCAGGAGAGACAGGGAGACTGAGTGTTTCTTTATGGGTGAATCAATATGAAAGTAGAACTCCACCAACTCAACGCCCCTCATTTAACACGAGGAGGCGCTGCCTTCACTTTGCAAAGCCTTTGGCCACAATATTGTGACCTTTCCTGGTATTACTGTCACTTTAATGTTGTAATTCTATGACTTTTTTCTCGAAATATTACGAGTTTATTCTCGAAGTCTACTATTTTTTTTTACTTAAAGTGGCCCTACAACGCCGTTGTTAGTGAGTTCCTCTCTGCTGACTGTGGTTCTGCCGAGGCTAAATGCTACAGAGACTACATCTGTACTCCGGACAGTACTGTCAGTGTTTTTTGAGGTGGTCTGTAGTGACATTAAGGTGGACAAGACATTGTTACAAATGTCTATGATCATATCTTTGTAATGCAATACAATATGAATTTATCAAAATGACAGTGTAATTTCATTTACAGTTACTTATTTAGAGCTGGAACAGTTCTTGAGTCTAAAACATTGGAGGCACTCAGTTTCCTCAAATCAGTTGAGATGTCACTCATCAGGTTTTATAGTGTGGTTTTGGGGGGGGGGTTTAAAGGGTAACTTCCTCATCTGTGAAAACTTTGTTAACTGACCACATTCTGGAGCAACACGAGGCCTTTAGAGACCATCGCTTTCAGGGCCGTCCTGCTGATTTCAACACAACAACAGCAGAAACATTCTGCATGTGGATTCTTTTGAAATCATGTGTTGCTTCATGAAGTGCAACATACGAAAACAAGGGCCTCGTATGGTTGCGCAGGTGAAGGCTTGTACAACTGAAGGAGGGAGAAAAGTTCCTCTTTAGAGCTGGATCAGTTTCTGTCTTCAGTCCACAGACGAGTATTAAGGGCTATTAAATAAAGGTGATGTAACACAGCGGTAAACAAGCTCCTGTACAGCTGTTTAGGAATGTGATGCAGGTATGAAATCCAGAATAAGCAAATATTTACACAAACAATAAAGTTCATGAGCTGAAACCTGAAATATCATATTTGTCTTTTCAATTTAATACAGATCAAACAGAATTTACTAAACACTGTTTTCTGTTTTTATTCCATTTCCCACAGAAAAACTGAGTTTCATCATTTTTTACTTTAAATAATAATCAGTGTTTTTAAAGTAGGCAGAGGCATAATAGTTTTAAATGTTCATCAGTTTCTCCTCTGCAGCACTTTCTTCTGAGAAAGTTCAGCTCTTCATCATCTACAGAAGCTCCTCAGACTCCTCCTGCGCTGACAGCCATGGTGAGATACAGCCTCCCATTTATCAGCTTCACCTTCACAAGATCTTTAACTGATTTGTGTTTAGTACTGATTAAGCTTTTAGTACAGATTTATTACAGATTTACAGGTGAATGTGTGTGTGTGTGTATGTGTGTGTGTTTGTGTGGTGTGTGTGTGTGTTGTGTGTGTGTGGGTGTGGTGTGTGTGTGTATTTTGTGTGTGTGTGGTGTGTTTGTGTGATGTGTGTGTGGTGTGTGTGTGTGTGTGTGTGTGTGTGTGTGTATGGTGTGTGTGTGTGTGTGTGTGTGTTGTGTGTGTGTATGTGTGTGTGTTTGTGTGGTGTGTGTGTATGTTGTGTGTGTGTGTGTGTGGCATGTGTGTTGTGTGTATGTGTGTGTGTGTGTGTGTGTGTGTTGTGTGTGTATGTGTGTGTGTTTGTGTGGTGTGTGTGTATGTTGTGTGTGTGTGGGTGTGGTGTGTGTGTGTATTTTGTGTGTGTGTGGTGTGTTTGTGTGATGTGTGTGTGGTGTGTGTGTGTGTGTGTGTGTGTGTGTATGGTGTGTGTGTGTGTGTGTGTGTATGTGTGATGTGTGTGGTGTGTGTGTGTGTGTGTGTGTGTGTGTGTATGGTGTGTGTGTGTGTGTGTGTGTATGGTGTGTGTGTGTGTGTGTGTGTGTGTGGTGTGTATGGTGTGTGTGTGTGTGTGTGTGTATGGTGTGTGTGTGTGTGTGTGTGAGTGTGTGCGCAGGTTCTCAGTGGAACTCTGAGAGTGGTCCTGCTCTGTCTTCTCTCTCTGTCTGATAGGAACTGAAGCTCAGCTGCTGAACCAGAGCAATCTGGCTCACATAATCAGCCATATTCAGACCTGGTAATTAAGCTGACCATCATCTGCTGACCGTCCCTGCTGAGTCAAACTGAAGTAGTATTAAAGGAGTTTGTGGTGAAGTTGAGGGTTTGATTATTTCAGAGTTTATGTAAAATAAACATCATGTAAAATGTTCTAAGATTAAGAAGCTCTGATTAATCAGTATCAGTGTGTATTTATATATAAAGTCATGAAGTGTTTGACCAGTTCTTTGTGTGTTTACTTACAGTCCAGGTGGACAGTTCGCAGTGGCCATCAACATCCCATGTCATCCCTGTACTGGACACTTAGATTTTCAGACACTTAAGGAGGCTCTTAACAATGATCAGCCAAATAATGTGAGAAATAACTTGAGAGCTAACAGAATCTATAATGGGCAATGGATGATTGGTGCAATGCTCATAGAAGATCTCAACCACATTGACCCAATTACAAATGCACACCCCTTCTCTGAGTACCTTCTGCTGATTAATTCTAATCCATTAGGGGTTCCTCCCAATGTTCCACTCATGCAGGACCTCCTGAACAGAGACCCACAGGGCTGTGTGATCTTCTACACCTACAACTCCCCCTGTACAAGAACCTGCTTAAACGAGACAAGACCCCGTAACATCCTCACTGCCCTCAACATGATTAGACTCCGCCAAGGCCCAAAAGCTTTCGTCTACAACAGGGTATTTCAAAGAGATATTGGGGGAAAATCTTAGAAAAATAGAGAGAAACAATAATAATAACAAATTTCTCTACCGTTGTAACCAAAATCCTTATGTCATTAATACCCACTACATGTGTCAGCTTTGCTTCAATGGAGCCACAGCAGATCCAAACTGCCTGAACTAAAGTTCACAATCTGATGGATGATCACTGTGTGTGAAATCCTGCTGTGCTTAAACTCTGTCGCTCACTCACTGAGAGAGAGTCACTCTTCTGCTCTTCTTCCTGCTCTCATTGGTCTCTGATCACTGATCATTACCAATAAATGAACTCAGCAAACTGCATTGATCTGGGATTCAGTCTGGCTTAATTTTGTCTGGCTCATTTGTGTGTGTGAGTGAGTGTGTGTGTGTGTTGATGCTCTCATGTAGATCTGTGAATATTAAAGTCGACACTGTCTCTGTACATCTTTTATTCCTCTTTACTGTACTTTAGTCTCCGTGTTTAGTCCAGCAAGGTTTATAACCTGGTATGTAGGTTCAGCGTTTAGTTCATGCAGAAGAGAAAATAACCAGTAGGCAGAAGGCAAGTGTTCCTAATAAACTGGCAGAACAGCGCCTTCTCACTAAGCAAAGTCTTCAGTTATTCTATTACTGTTAGCATTAGCATTAGCACTGGCTCATCTACTGATTTAACCCACAGAGATGAAAAGCTTTCTCTTCTCTTTTGAATGTCGTTTTCCTCTGTGATCTAAACACAGCATGTTTAGCTGACCACTGCACAGGCCAGCGTCCACGTTATATACAAGATAAGTCATGTGTACAGTGAAGGTGTAAGTTTAAGCTTAATGTGTCAACTTTGACTGTAAATAAAAGACTGTTTCTATTATTATTTTCACTGAGAGTTCAGTTTGTTTAGCAGCTGTTTTGAACCAGGGACTGTTCCTGAGTAGAGCTTAAATCTGGCCTGAAATTTTGGTCCAAACTCAAAAACAAATAACTTCCTGCCTGACAACCTCCCAACCCTTCCAACCTAATACCCCCAAATCCCAAACCCCAAACCCACCAACCCTAAGCCCCCAAACCACCCACTCTCAAACCCCCAAAACCCCAACTGCTGCAATCTCAAACTGCCACATTCTAAAACCCCCACCCTAAACACCCAAAACCTCAACCCCAACCAACCCACCCCCAAACCCTAAACCCCAAAACCCCATCCCACTCAACCTCAAACCACAAGACCCAAAAACCAAACCCCCAAACCCCAACCCACCCAACCTCATTCCCCAACCTCCAAACCCCAACCCTCAAACCTTAAACATCCAAAGCCCCAATCCACCCAACCCCAAACCACCAAACCCTCAATCTCCAACCCTAAACCCCCAAAACCCCAACCCACCCAACCTCAAAACTCAACCCCCCAAACCCCAAAACCCCAACCCCGAAACCTCACCCCCCAAACCTCAACCCACCCAACCCCAAACCCTCAACCTCCAAACCCTAAACCCCCAAAACCCCAACCCACCCAACCTCAAACCCCCAACCCAAACCCCCTAAACCCCCAACCCCAACCCACCCATCCCCAAACCCCCAAAACCCCAACCCCTCAAACCCCCAACCTCCAACCTTAAACCCCCCAAAAAAAGGCTGAAAGAGAGTGAGTGTTCAAGATGCCTTGCACCCGCTGATATTGATAATGTGAGGAGGCATCTGCAGGAACTTCTGCGACTTTTTTTTATAAGAGTCCCCCAGTCCTTATGCTTCCCTAATAGTAATAGCGAGAAAACTGAATGGAACAGTGTGAATGTATATTGACTACTGCACACTGAACATTCACACCATTCCTAATGAATATACCATCCCATGCATTGATGATGCACTTGAAGTTCTTGTCTACCTCAGTGACCTGTTAGTCTTTGGAAAGTCATTGGAAGAGCATGAGCAAAGGCTCCTGGAAGTCCTAGAATGGCTGGAGAAGGCAGGGCTTAAATGTCTTTGGACAAGTGTCAATTCTACAAGCCAAAGGTGAAGTATGTAAGGCATATCGTGTCAGCACAAGGCTTTGCCACTGACCTGGCTGAAGTTGAGGCAGTCACCATGTGGACACTCCCCACAAACCTGAAAAATTTAAGATCCATTCTAGCATTAAATGCAGTTATTTTCGAAGATTTGTCACCAATCACTTGATTGTCAAACCTTTGACAGAGCTCACAAAGGGATATGCTCCAACCCAGAATGGAAACAAACCAAGCAAAAAAGCCTAGTCTTACTATAAAGAGTCAGAGCCCTTTGGACAGCAGTGAAAACAGTCATGCACAGATGCTTTTCAACAGATCATACATTGACAAATGTGTTACCATTTGCTGTTCCTAACAAGGCATACATACTACATGTAGTTGCCAGTTTGAGAGGACTGGGAGCAGTGTTGTATCAGGAGCATCCAGAGGGCCTCTAATCTGTGACATTTGCTAGTAGAAAGCTGAGGAACAGAATTACCAGTACATCAACTCAAATTTCTCCCTTTCAAGTGGGCAGTTGTGGACAAGTTCCACAATAATCTCTATGGAGCCTAATTTACTATTCACAAAGACAACAACCCCCTTACTTATGTGCTGACATCAGCCAAACTGAATGCTGTTGGTCATTGTTGGCCTGCCACCTTAGCCACGTACAAATTGATTATTCAGTACTGTTCTGGCTGGCACAACATTGATGCTGACTTATTATCCAGGAATATTAGTCCAACAGAGAAAATTGGTAAGTGGTAGAACATTCTGCTGTCTGACATTAAGTCTATTTGCTATAAAGTTGTTGTGCAAGAAACTCTCAAGAATCATTCCAGATATGCAGAACAGTTAGGTGCTTACCTGATGGGTTTATGGAAGTCCAGAATGACCCTATATTAGCCTCAAGGTAACCTAAAAACAGAGAGATTAATCTGACCCTTCTCTCCTTGGGCCCGGAGAAAAAATGCCAGTGAAGCACCATGTTCACGTTAACTATAGCGCCAAGTGTGATGCTACAGGATACTCTCCCTACTACTTGATGTTTGGGAAGGGCTCCTTGTTGATCTGTGTTTTGGGAATATGCCTAATGATGGAGATGTGATGCATTCTCAGTATGTCTCTAATCTGAAACAGACTTGAATAATTCCCCTCTCCAATAATGTATCCGTGGGGTGATTCCATGGGACACAGGACTGGCTTCGGAATTTGTTGGGTCAGATTTTTCCTTCACATACTCCATATTTGGCACTAAAGGTACAGATGATGCTCTAAAGCAACACCATTGATTTTCTGTGTGAAAGTTGTGTTAATGTGTGTGTAGCACATGTGTGCTTATTCCATTCTGCAAAAACCAGATGTCAATTGCCTGTCAAATGCACCCAATTTCCAGTGGAAAGCTAAAAAATAGAAGAAAAAAAAAACAAAAAACTGAACAACAATGAATCATTAAGACATGTTTTAGCAGATGATTAGTACAAAACCCTGGTGTATCAGTGCAGCACTACCACCATTATCCACCCAAAGTTCTTTGTTGTTTTGGTCTAGCACTGATTTGTCCAATAAGTGGGTCCAAGGGCCTTGCTGGTTTGGCACTGAGCTCACTGAGCACTGAGGGGCCTCAGATCACATAGTTTTCAGAAGTTTGGAACTCTTGTCTGCCTTGGGGGTCCATTCTAGAATTTAAGAACCTGGTCTCTCCCCAAAAAATGTCATTCAGTGCTTGAACAAGCTTGGCTAATACAGTTTCATAAGTTCTGCAGTAGCTCATCAGGCCACGGGTTTGCCTTAAGCCCCTTACAGTTGTAGCTTGAAACATGTCTAAGATGGCTATTTTCCTTGAATCAAACTGGATCTTAACACCATCCATGCTCTCATATTCCCTCTGGAATTGACAGTCATTGGATTCTGTCCAGGCCTGACTGCATAGGCTGCAGGTGTCTTTTCCTTCTCTCTTTATGAGCACTTGGGAGGAGGAGGTATAAAGGGCCTTTGAGATGGGATATAGTTTGGGTCAGGGCTCTGGCAGTGCTGGACTCAGTATCAGAAGCCATCATCACTTGCATATCAGTCATTGTCGAAGCCACTTCCATCATTCTGTTCCACCCAGCTGTGAGTGTCTCACCTCACGACACCTCCTCCAGACCATGCGGGTGGCAGAGGGAGGTCTTAACCTTGAAAACAGTATCTTTAAGGTCATCATGACATCATAAGGACTGTCATCATTTACAAAAATGTCATTTAATTAAGATCTTTAAAAAAAGAACATTAAAAATACAAAAATAAAAGTAAGTATTACTTTTAAAATATAAATTTAGGAGTTATGTTTTAGGACAGACGCCTCCCAATAGCCCATGCCTTATAAATGATGATTTTGTATGTGTTAAGCTTATTACTATCTTTATTAGTACCTTGAGGTTAAATAGATCATAAGATGGTCCTTCAATGTTTATTTTAAATGTTTTTTTTTGTTTAATATGAAAACGCAGTTACAGTTTTGATCCCAACTTATTAAAAGGCAAAACCAAGCAACAATAAATCATTAGATTCATTGTTGTTCAGTTTTACCTTTTAATATGCCATCATTAATTGGAATGTTTTATTCTTTGATTCCCTTCATCAATTGTTTTCATTTATTCTCTTGAATATGTATTATCAGTGTTTAATGTTAGATGATAAGATCTTCTGTTATTTATGTGTCAAATTTGTTTACTTCATATAAGTTCCAAATTGGTCAATCGTAAAAGCGGAACTAGAAGGGTTCAGTCGGAAATGGTGTGCATGTAACGGGTTATCAGTATCTGATAGTTGCAGAATGGGACAAGCACATACGCCAAACACACACATACACACACACACACACACACACACACACACACTTCAGAGACAGAAAATGCAGAAGTAGATTGCAGAAGTTCAACCTGAGGAAAGTGAGGACATCAGGTCAAGGACAAGTCTACATGCCTACTGGCGATTCTACGTTGTCTGCAAGAAGGATCAGCGGTGTTGCGTTACAGGCCATGCAGCAGAAGAGAACAGTCCCACCAGCTCTCTTAAAAAGTAAAATAAAACATAAACATTATTTACATATTTATTTCATTAACATTTATTTAAATGATGTGAGTCACCTTAAAGATATTGCTCTCATGGATAAGACCCCCCTCTGCAAAGAGTATGGTCTGGAGGAGCCATTATGAGGTGAGGGACCCAAAGCTGGCTAGAATGATACTGAGTCCAGCGCTGCAAAAGCTCTGTCTCCCTACTTCACTCCCATCACGAAGACCTCTCACTCTTTCTTCTCCCAACTGCAGACAGAGAAGGAAAAAAAACGCCTACAGCCTATGCAGTCAGGCCTGGACAGAATCCAACGACTGTCTATTCTAGAGGGATTCCTGGGGTTTCGGTTGGACTTACTCTGAAAGAAAAGATGGCTTTGAGATCCAGTTTGATGAAAGAAAAAGGGCCATTATAGACATGATTGTCGAGTTAGATTTACTAAGCTCACCCTGAGAGGTTATGGGGGGGCAGGGTCTAAAAGTACACAGTATATTTCTTTGTCCTTGATAGCATTGTGACTTCTGATTAGGAAAAAGTTTTAAGCCTGGAAGACCAACTGGGAAATCTGTCTGCAGTACAGAATGTATTTTATATGGTCTTCTGTTTAATTTTTATTGATTTCAGAGCTTATTTTAGTGTGTTTTGCTTCATGATACAGGCAGTGTGCTGAAAAAATCAGTGCCAGGTCTATTCTCTAAATACTGCACCACTTCAGTACAGCATCTGGGACGCTGTGCTGCTTCATATGTGCAGCCTATGTGAAAGCACTGACCATTGTGTCTGTGTGTGTGTGTGTGGTGTTTGTGTGTGATGTGTGTGTGATGTGTGTGTGTGTGTGTGTGTGTGTGTGTGTGTGTGTGTGTGTGTGTGTGTGTCTGTGTGTGTGTCTGTGTGTGTGTGTGTGTGTGTGTGCGTGTGTGTGTATGTGTGTGTGTGTGTGTGTGTGTGTGTGTGTGTGTGGTGTGTGTGTGTGTGTGGTGTGTGTGTGTGTGGTGTGTGTGTGTGCGTGTGTGTGTGTGTGTGTGTGTGTGCAGGTTCTCAGTGGAACTCTGAGAGTGGTCCTGCTCTGTCTTCTCTCTCTCTGTCTGAGAGGGGCTGAAGCTCAGCTGGTGAACCAGAACAATCTGGCTCACATCATCAGTCACATTCAGACCCAGTAAGTAATCTGACCATCACCTGCTGACCGTCCCTGCTGAGTCAAACTGAAGTAGCATTAAAGGAGTTTGTGGTGAAGTTGAGGGTTTGATTAAATCAGAGTTTCATATAAAATAATCATCATGTAAAATGTTCTAAGATTAAGAAGCTCTGATTAATCAGTATCAGTGTGGGTTTATATATAAAGTCATGAAGTGTTTGACCAGTTCTTTGTGTCTTTAGGTACAATCCAGGTGGAAACAGACCAAATAATAGAAACCCTCAGTTCGCAGTGGCCATCAACATCCCACGTCAACTCTGTACTCAACGCTTCAATTTTCAGGAATTTCTGGCGGCTCTTAACAATGATCAGCCAAATAATGTGAGAAATAACTTGAGACGTAATGGAATCTATAATGGGCGACGGATGATTGGTGCAACGCTCATAGAAGATCCCAACAACATTGACCCAAATACAAATCGACACCCCTTCTTCCACTCTGAGTACCTTCTGCTGATTAATTCTAATCCATTAGGGGTTCCTCCCAATGTTCCACTCATGCAGGACCTCCTGAACAGAGACCCACAGGGCTGTGTGATCTTCTACACCTATAACTCCCCCTGTACAAGAACGTGCTTAAACAGGTACAGACCCCGTAACATTCTCACTGCCCTCAACATGATTAGACTCCGCCAAGGCCCAAAAGCTTTCGTCTACAACAGGGTATTTCAAAGAGATCAAGGGAACCGTCAACTGGGCGCAAGCCTTAGAGGAATAGAGGGAAACAATAATAATAACAGATTTCTCTACCGCTGTAACCAAAATCCACAACAACATCAACACTACACGTGTCGGCTTTGCTTCAATGGAGCCACAGCAGATCCAAACTGCCTGAACTAAAGTTCACAATCTGATGGATGATCACTGTGTGTGAAATCCTGCTGTGCTTAAACTCTGTCGCTCACTCACTGAGAGAGAGTCACTCTTCTGCTCTTCTTCCTGCTCTCATTGGTCTCTGATCACTGATCATTACCAATAAATGAACTCAGCAAACTGCATTGATCTGGGATTCAGACTGGCTCATTTATGTGTATGTGAGTGTGTGTGTGTGTGTGTGTGTGGGTATGTTTGAGTGTGTGTGTGAGTGTGTGTGGGTGAGTGTGTGTGTGTGGCTCATTTATGTGTGTGTGAGTGTGTGTGTGTGTGTGTGTGTGTGTGTGGGTATGTTTGAGTGTGTGTGTGAGTGTGTGTATGTGTGTGTGTGTGTGTGTGTGTGTGTGTATGTGGGTGTGATTGTGTGTGTGTGTGTGTACTGTTAGCATTAGCATTAGCTCATCTACTGATTTAACCCACAGTGGCTAAAAGTTTTCTCTTCTCTTCCGCTGCACAGACCAGCGTCCACTTTACACACAAGATCAGTCGTGTGTAGAGTGAAGGTGAGTTTAAGCTCAATTTCTCGACTTTTGACTGTAAATAAAACACTGTATCTGTTATCACTTTCACTGAGAGATCAGTTTCTTTGGCAGCTGTTTTTGAACCCGGGACTGATCCTGGGTTGAGCTTAAACCTGGTCCAAAATCAAAAACAGGCCGATACCTTCCTGCCTGACAACTTCCAACCCTTCAAAATCCAAACGCCCAAACCCCCATACCCCAAACCCACCAACCCTAAGCCCCCAAAACCCCAATCTCAAAGCCCCAAATCCCCAAACCCCCAACCCCAAAACACCACACCCTATATCCCCACCCTAAACACCCAAACCCTCCTACAAAAGTTTATTTTGTGCTCATATTCAAGACGTCTTGTAGAGCTGTAAAGAATCTTTTACTAACCGTAGAAAAGAAGACGACATTCAGCTTTTTAGTCTTTACTGTGTAATTTAACCTAAAAAAGACACAGAAAATCAGGTGAACTCTGCTGGTACTGGAACACTGTTGGTAACAGAGTTTATATTCAGGAAACGGTTGATTGGTGCAACTCCTGAGACTCAACCATTCACTCTGAGCACCTTCTGCTGATGAAACCAACAGCCCACCAGCCCCCCATGAACTGCTGTACTGAAGAGCAATGAAAACGGCTGATTTCCTCCATCAGTAACTCCCCCTGTAAGAAAACTGGTTTAAACTGGAAAAATAAAGAGAGCTGCATTTACTTTGGGCTCAGAGTTATTAAACTGCATGAAGGGTCAAAAGCTTTTGTCCACCATCGAGATGAGCCTGAAGATCTAACTGTGAAGTTTAGACATGTAGAAAATGACTTTGAGGTCTTTTAGCTCTTGAAAATAGCAACACTGAAGAATGGCTGGACATCAAATCCTCTAAAGATGATTTACAAACACACACACACACACACACACACACACACACACACACACACACACAGAGAGAGAGAGAGAGATTCCTCTCAGGACAGCACTGCTCTGCTGCACAAAACACTCACTAACTGCAGTTCACATCTCTGACCACTAGAGGTCAGTAGAACACTGCTTTAAAGGTCAGTATCTAATATCTGTGACCTCTATGATGGTCAGCTGATCCAAACCCAGCAGCACAGTGACCTCAGAACCACTAACAGCTGATCACATTAATGTAGATCCACTGTTTTATTCAGATCTGTGAAGCAGTGAAGATGATTTACTCTGGAGTTTTGATTCTTATCATAATTATTATTGTGTGGCTGATCAGGTAAACAACACAATAAAAAGGGGAACAAAAGTTGATTTGATGGGTTTAAGGTTTAAATTGATGAGAAATACTGATTTTGTTCATCTAAAGTTCTGCTTTGCACTGTTTCACTGAGAGTGTTTATGTGAGCTGAATTAAAGCAGTCAAACAAACAAATGAAGAAACAGCAACTAAAAATCCAGAACTTTAAAAACAAAAAAAGCGAATGGAAATGTTTACTCTAGCTGATCAACATCACTAGCTCAGATGTTTGATGCACACCTGATAGTACTGGATGCTCAACACAAAGTATTGGGTGTTCACCTCAGTATCTGGTGCACACCGGATAGTATCGGGTGCTCTCCCCATAGTATCTGGTGCACACCTGATAGTATTGGGTGCTCACCTTATAGTACCTGGTGCCCACCTCAGTATCTGGTGCACACCTGATAAAATCAGGTGCTCAATACAACGTATTGGGTGCTTTCCCTAGTATCTGCTGCAGACCTGATAGTATTGGGTGCTCAATATATAGTATCGAGTGCTTTCCATACAGTATCTGGTGCACACCTGATAGTATTTAGTGCTCACCTTATAGTACCTGGTGCCCACCTCAGTATCTGGTGCACACCTGATAAAGTCAGGTGCTCAATATATAGTATTGGATGCTTTCCATAGTATCTGGTGCACACCTAATAGTATTGGGCGCTCACCGCATGGTATCAGGTGCTCTCCCCATAGTATCTGGTGCACCCCTGATAATATTGGGTGCTCACATAGTATCTGGTGCCCACCTGATCGTATTAGGTGCTCACAGCATAGTATCGAATCCTGATCTTTGTATCTGGTGCACACCTGATAGTATTGGGTGCTCTACATATGGTATCAGGTGCTCTCCACATAGTATCTCGTGCACACCTGATAGTATTGGGTTCTCTCCACATAGTATCTCGTGCACACCTGATAGTATTGGGTTCTCTCCACATAGTATCTGGTGCACACCTGATACGATTGGGTGATCAAAACAGTATCGGGTGCTCTCCACATAGTATCTTTTGTACACCTGATAGTATTGGGTGCTCACCACATAGTATTGTATGCTCTCCACATAGTATCTGGTGCACACCTGATAGTATTAGGTGCTCACCACGTAGTATATGTTGTGCACCAGATTTTAACCTAAAAAAATCCACCATGTCACTTCAGGAGCTCCGTACCGTGCACTGCTTAAGTGATCACAGTATTTTTATTACAGTGAGACGAAAACTGTTGGCTTCTTTGAAGCTGCGTCGCAGGTTGAGGTGCAAAGAGGAAAAGAGTTCAAGATCAGTTCTGAGCCCAAAGCAGCTTAAACTTACTTTTAAACCTCTTTAAAACAGTCATCTAGTGTAATAATGAGGCTTATATGAACTGTTATGTCTCCTCTGTGTGTGTGTTTCAGTGTTGAGTCTCAGGGTGTGACTGTGGACGCAGCACAATCAGTTACTGCATCAAAGTCGTGATCAGTAATAATTTCATTTACAATGACAGCTTTAGATGTAAGAGATCTTCTGTTAAGCAGTCCTAGTTTTAGATCAAAGGTGCTGTCACTGCAAACTGGTATAACTGGTCTGATATTAATCAAATTACTAGAGCAAACTTTTCAAGTTTTTTTGATGCTTTGTTTTATTCAGGGAACAGACACAGTCTCAATTGGGTGGAACCTAAGTGGCGTCTCAAGGCGGCTCGCAGGCGGTTGGTTTAGCCTGTTTGTCTGCTGCCTGGCCTCTGCCCTGGTTTGTAAGCGACTAACTGTCCTACACTGACCGCTATCTGAGAGAGTTCGAGCTATGCCACATGAAATGAGAGCAGCAACCTCCGGTGAGGGGTGGATACCATCCCCACTCAAGAGACCAGGATTGCCCTCAAAAGTAGACCAATTGTCTACAAAGCCCACATTGTTTTCTGAGCACCACTTGGACAACCAGCAGTTCAGCGACCATAACCTGCTGTAGATTTTGGCGGCACGTCGAACTGGGATGGGGCCAGAGCACATTACAGCATTTGAATTCATCTGGGATGTTTACACACCTCTTTAACCCTATCTTTAGTTATTTCTGACTGCCGCAGATGAATGTCATTAGAACCTACATGAATGACTTTCCACAAATATCTATGGCTAGCCAGCAGCTTCAGGTTCCCTCTAATGTCTGGCACCCTGGCTCCTGGTATACAGTTAACTGCTACTGGCGCCCCTAAAGGAGAAGCTATTTTCACATGCTGTAAGATTAAGAGACCCTTATTAGTTCCACAACGGGGAAATTTCACCTCCACATTTAACCCATGCGTGCAGTGAAACACCACATACACACTAGCGAAGACACACACTAGGGGGCAGTGAGCACCCTTGCCCGAGCGTGGGCAGCCCTATCCGCAGCACCTGGGGAGCAGTTGGGGGTTAGGTGCCTTGCTCAGGGGCACTTCGGTCATGTACTGTCGGCTAAGAGGATTGAACCAGTGACCTTCCGGTCGCAAGGCCGGTTCCTAACCCTTCAGCCCACAACTACTATAGAACCCCCTATAACCAGAGCTCTTTCAACAGGTGTCTCAGAGGGTGTCTCACTGAGTGGGGCAAACCTGTGTGAATGGGAGATGAGTGGTGCTTGCGTGGGGTAGCTTTAGCTTTACCTTTGCGGCTATGCCGCCGAGACGCCACACACTCGCCGTGCTCTGAGTGCTCTGCTGCCGGAGTCGAGGGTGTGCTAGCTCTCCCTGAGGCACCTGGAGCTTCTAACAGCGAGTCTGAGCCCTGCTGACCAGCCCTGCTCTTTTCTAACTTCTGGATGCACCTCTAACTGTATAATCTTCTCTGTCAAACATGAAACTAACTTACACTTCTCACAAACAAAGCTAGTAACACTGCTGTCACTGGTGACGGAGAGAGAAGCATAACTGAACATGCAGCACTCAGAGCAAAGCAACAGCTCGCGGTCTGCCACACTGACACTCACGTTGTTTCGGTGGCTGAATTGAGTCTTTTCCAGGGGTCTCGTGAATCCGATGAGAGAAGAAGTGACTATCAAAGGTTGGTGGTTGTAATTAATTATGAGTAACATGTAACAGTGAAATGAAAATGGAAAAAGCTGCAAAAGACTGGCAACATAGAGCGGAGAAAACAACTCAGATGCTCGCAGATAAAAAGAGAAAGTGAGGCTTTAATGTTAGAATCACAATCCAAAAGCACAAACATAACCTGGCAACCAGAGTCCAAGGGGCAAAGGCAAAAGGGCAAAAGTCAAAATGTCAAAATTCAGTCAGAACGAGAAGAATCACAAAAACAGATGAAGCTCAGTAGCTCTTAGGACAAGAAGCAATACCTCGCAACCTCTGAGCCCGAGGGATGCGTGACAGTGGTGAACA